ACAACTGAGGAGAAATGTTTAATGTTTAAAAATTGCAAAATTTACAGCATAATGAACAGCTAAAGTCTCTAAACAGCAAACAGTCTTCATTAAAATCAACTGGAATATTTTCTTAAAATTGTCTCAAAACTGTTGAAATAAACTTCTGTCAATACGAAACTCTGCAAATATAAACACTCCTTTAACATGAATATACAAAATAAAGTTATACAAGCAAGTTTCACATGTACTCACCCAACTTTTTAAAAAAAATTATAAACAGTATAGGCGAGAACACTTTGGACGTTGCAATCTATTTACTAAACTGTTATTTGTCCAACAATAATTCTTCCTTTTTTGACAGTTTTACAAAAAAATCCATCAAATCTGCAAGAGACAGGTAGAATATAAACAACAGGTATTTACATGTTACTCAAGGGAAACTTTTACTATGTAACAAAACTGAACATGTTTCTAAATATTCCCATATAACATACCATACAAACATAACATCAATGTGGACCTTCAGTGTGTATGTTGTTATTCATACCCCAAGACCCTGACATCAGCGTAGATGCTTTCTCCCTCGACTACTTCTGCACCCTCTCTTACGCGTCGGCCATTTTTTTTTCTTGTAAAGTTTGGGACAGAATAAACCAATGAGTCTTCTTCTGTCTGTAGAAAAATATCGTAAACATAATTAAATGCTAGCTATGAACATAAATGTACCAGTGCAATATCTCTGAAATAACTTACCGTCTGTCTTTGTTGAACACCACTGGTTACTGGAGCATTTATTTGTGGGGCAGCAGCAGCTGGATGAACCAGGAATAATATCAGTAAGGATGAACAGAGTTTCATTATACACTGATAATAAAGTGTAGATTAATATAATGCAAGAAAGTTTACCATTGAAACAATCACATTTCTTTGTCTTGATGGTATAAATCAGTAGGGCTATGACAATCAAACTGATGACCAGAGCAGCACACATCAGAAACAGAACTATATTGACCCTCTCACCAAATGCTGAGATGTTGGCTGCCCAAAGAGAATAGGACCAAACAACAGAAATCTATGAGCAGAGTACAAAGTTAAACCTTCAAATATGAGCTTTGAATATGTTTTTGTCAACTTAAAAGGCAAGATTAAATCACAACCATCAAAA